CGACATCGTCGTCGCGCCGTCGCCGTCGCCGTCGTCGTCGTCGTCGTCGTCCGCGACCTCGACATCGTCGTCGTCGTCGTCCTCGTCGTCCTCGTCCTCGTCCTCGTCCTCCACCTCGACATCGTCGCCCTCGTCGTCGTCGTGGTCGCAGTCGTCGTCGTCATCGTCGTCGGGGTCGTCATGGTCGTCCTGGTCGCCGTCATCATCGTCGTCGTCGTGCTAGTCGTCGTCGTCATCGTCCTCGACCTCGACATCGCCGTCGTCGTCGTCGCAGTCGTCGTCGTTGTCGTCATCGTCGCTGATGGTCGCCATCGTCGTCGTTGTCGTCGTCGTCATCGTCATCGTCATGGTCGCCGTCGTCGTCGTCCTCGACCTCGACATCGTCGTTGTCGTCGTCGTCGTCGTCATCGTCGTCTTCGTGGTCGCCGTCGTCGTCGTCCTCGACTTCGACATCGTCGTCGTCGTCGTCGCCGTCGTCGTGGTCGTCGCCATCGTCGTCGTCCTCGACCTCGGCATCGTCGTTGCCGTCGTCGTCGTCGTAGTCGTCGTTCCCGCCGTCGTGGTCGCCGTCGTCGCCGTCGTCATCACCGTCGTCGTCGTCGCCGTCGTTGTCGTGGCCACAGTCTCGGCAGCGGCGGCCGCCGGGGGGACCCCGAGGTCCGGTCGCCCACGGGCGACGTGCACCCCTCCGAGTGGGCCATTGCTCATTGTCGGGCTCTGCTGCGAGGTCGAATCTTTCGGCAGATATCGGCTCGCATCCCCGACGCCTCGGCGACGCGGTGCGCTCCTCCGACCCCCTCTACGCTGACCCCTCTACGGGAGGCCTCCGAGAGAGGAAATGGAAGAGGGGAGGGTTTGCCAGGCGCCTCGCTATCTGGCCAGCATCCCTCGGCCTGGTGTGTCAGCCTGCCGCTGGGGCCCGCCGCCGCGACGGGGCGAAGCGGGCGCGAGCATACAGGAAAGAGACGGGTGCGGCTGGCCGTCTGCCCGCGCCTGCACGGTTTCCCCCGGGGCCGTAGGCGACCCGAGGAGGAGGAGGAGGAGGAGGAGGAGGAGGAGGAGGTGGAGGTGGAGGAGGGGGAGGGGGAAAAGGCGATGGAGGAGGAGGAGGAGGAGGAGGAGGAGGACGGGTCACCTGCGCCCTGTCATGAGCCATCAATGTTCAACTCCCGTCCTCGCGCCTCTGCCTCTTGTCTAGGGCAGCGGAGCTCCACCCCCCGAGCCTTCAAACTGGGCGTTTTGCCTAGGCTTAGGCTTCCAGGGCCCGTTGTGGGGCCCCAGGGCCATCAGAAACGGATCCGGGACGAAAAACTACCCCTGGGGAAGGGGTCGGGACCTCTGGGGCCTCGCACTGAAAACATCATGTCGACTGCTGCACGTGAGAGTGGCCCTGACTCGGCGGCGAGCGAGGGGGGAAGTGAGAAGGAGAAGGCTCTCTCAGAAGGCGGCGGGACTTCTCAGAAGCCATTGCGCCTTCTGATAAGTTCTCTGTGTCTTCGGGGAAGGCTTAGCAAACTTCTCAGATGGCCCAGAGACTACCGAGCCTTCTCAGAAAGCCTCCTCCTCCTCCTCCCTCCTCCTCTCCCCTCCTCCTACTCTCCTCCTCCTCCTCCTCCTCCTCCTCCTCCTCCTCACTCCTCCTCCTCCTCCTCCTCCTCCTCCTCCTCCTCTTCCTCCTCCCTCTCACTCCTTCCCCAGGCTCGCTGCCGACCAGTGGTGCGCCGCTTCTGGGCCCTCGACCCACCTGCCTCGACTTCCATCCCCCACCGGCGACCAGCACTCCTCGACCTCCGCGAGCCTTCGCGCCCGGCCTCGGGCCCCGGGGCCCTCCATCCTCCTCCTCCTCCTCCTCCTCTCCTCCTCCTCCTCCTCCCCCTCCTCCCTCCTCCTCCTCCTCCTCCCCCCCCCCCCTCCCCCTCCCCCCCCCTCCTCCTCCCCCTCCTCCCCCTCCTCCTCCTCCTCCTCCTCCTCCTCCTCCTCCTCCTACTCCCCCTCCTCCTCCCCTCCTCCTCCGCCGCAGGGGCAGACTCGGCGACCGCCGAGTCTGCCCCTGCGGCCTCGACGGCTGCCGCTGCTACGGCCGCGCTGGCGACAGCCGCTGCGCGGCATCTGCCGTCCAGGAGGTGCGGAGGGTGGAGGTCAAGGGGTGCTCCGAAGTTCACAGGAAACGGGGAGGGGGCACAAACCTCCCAGACGAGCAGTTGTAGAGCCACTCAGGCCGGCCGTGAACTGGCGACCGTTTGCCCAGACCCCCCCAGAACCCTCCAAGACGGCGCAAATTGGGCCTCAAAAAGATCAGACCTCTTGACGATGGTAAAAGGCGACGAGGAGGACTTGCGGAAGGCCAAGGCAAGGATTGGAGGAGGGAGACGCCAGAGGCAGAGAGGGGAGCAGGGATGGTTGGGAATCAGACCCACGCTCTTTTCGTGAGATCTGGAATACCCACCTCACATGGGTGCCTCGGGGCGCCCAGTGTCCCCTGGCGCCCCGGGCCGCCGAA